TCAACCCTCTAACTTCTCAACCTTTTCTTTTTGGTGAAAATACATATAGCCAAAGATACACCATTTCAAAAATTTCTACATGCACAGTTCAGTGACATTGACCATGCTCTTCCAATTGTGCAGTTATTCTCAGTTAAGATGAAGGCTTACAGAACAAAATAGTTTCTCATTTAATAGTTACTACAAATGTTGCCCTATGACAATGGTTAACAATCTCACATCAACAATATCCTTACTCAACCTTGGGTTCCCTACCACCAGCTTCCTTGTCCCCTTTAAATCCATTTTTAAGACCTAGGAAATTTTCTTTTCATTATTTCTCTGATCATTTCTTCCATTTTCTTGGTTTTGTTTTTCTGGAACAACCTTATTTTGATGCTCATTAAATGTTCCATTTTTCTTCTATTTTCAATCTCTGCCTTTCTTCTCCACTTTCTGACTGCTTTCCCTTTGTCTTCTAACCTGTCTCCAGAAAGATTAATTTCTGTTACTATATGTCCTAGTTATCTAGTGGGGCTATAACAGAAATACCACAAGAGAATGGCTTTAACAAACACAAATCTATTCCCTCACAGTATAGGAGGCTAGAAGTCCAAATTCAGGGTGCCAGCTCCAAGGGAATGCTCTCTCTCTGTTGGCTCTAGGGGAAGATCCTTGTCACCAATCTTCCCCTGGTCTAGGAGCTTCTCAGCACAGGGACCCCGGTCCAAAGGATGCATTCTGCTCCCGGCCCTTCTTTCTTAGTGGTAGGAAGTCCCTCTCCTCTCTGTTTACTTCTCTCTTTTATATCTCAAAAGAGACTGAATCAAGATACAACCTAATCCTGTAAATTGAGTCCTGCCTCATTAACATAACTGCCTCTAATCCTGTTTCATTAACATTGTAGAGGTTAGGATTTACCACACATAGGATAATTACATCAGATCACAAAATGGAGGACAACCACACAATACTGGGAATCTTGGCCTAGCCAAATTGACACACATTTTTGGAGGACACAATTCAATCCATAAGACTATCTTTTAAATTTCTAGGAGTTCTTTTTCATTCTCTAACATTGCCCTTTTCATAGTATCCTATTCTTGTTTTATAGATTCAATATCTTATCTTTCTGAGGAAATTAATTTTAAATATTTTTATGTATTTTTTTCTTTGCATTGTCTGTTTTCTCTGAGTTTCTTATTCGGTTTTAGGGTCTTTTCACACTGGGATGGTCCTTGGCTGTCTGTGAAGTACTGAGGGCCTGATGGGAAAGTCTGGGCAGAGCTTGTTGCTTGGTGGGAATCATTATACGATGACTGGACAGAGACCTGGCTGATTGTTGGAGGATCCTCACTGTCAGTGTCAGCAAGCTTTTTCTTTTGGCCAAGTTTCCCTAGAAAGGTATCAAATCTACCGTCTGAGTTGAGCATAGGAGACATATACCAGGCTTCCAGTCTCCTGCTGGCAGGACAGGGGCCTGGGGATCCAATCATTCAGCATGTAGATTCTCACTTTATCCCCATTTTCAGCACACCACCCCCAAGTTTGGAGGCTTTCATGGTCAATTTGTTCAGAGAATGAGTCTTTGTTTTCTTGCCTAGGAAAGTGGTTGTCCTGCCATTTGGGGTGTAGTAAAGTACCTGGGTGCCCAGTATACTGTCCACATCCATCCTCTTGTTTTCAGCCCTGTGCCTCATTGCCACTTTCTGTGGCAAGTCCTAACTTATGGGTTCTGCAGGTCAACCAGCTCCCTTCCCCTGGGGCCCACCTCTACCAGCACTCTATGCTGCAGCCTCCTCTGCTTTGCCATTGTCCTCATCTGTTTCCAGAACTTGTTTGAAATTGCTCTTCTGTTGCTGTTTGTCCTCCAAGTTTCTTTATTCTTGAGAATATGTATCTTTTTTGTTTTTTTAATAACTGTGATTTTAGTGGGGTCCTGGGAGTAGAGAGAGGCACTAAAGGAGTATGATAAGTATACCGTGATGAATTGGAAGTGATGTTAAGGACATTCTGATTTTAAAATTAAAAAAAAAAAAGTTTATCTGCTGTTTAATAATTAGTATCTTATAATAATGTTGAAATTATAGTATCTGTAAATTATAAGGAAAATGCACTTCAGGGATATGTTCTTTGCTTGTTAGATTCCATTTATATTTACAAAATACTTTTAAAAGATCCTAAACCAACAACATTTTCAATATTTTACCTGTTATTTAAATAAGCTGTGAACTAGAGATAGAATAAAAATAAAAGGAGGTTAAAATTCTGAGATAAAACTATAAAAGAGAAGAATGCAGTGGGTAGGCAAGTACAACAAGAAAGTGCATTTCTAAACATTGTGTCATTTCCTTATTATGTGCCTGTGGGATGGTTGTTATGTGATTATTGTTCCACAGATGAGGAAACCAAGGCTCAGAGAGACCAAGAGACTTGACAGGACACACAGCTAGTAAGCAGAGGAGTCAGGATTGAAATCTGGGTATGTCTCCTGAACTTCCTCCAGTTGAACTGTTATATTTGGAAGGTATGCCTGAATTCAGGAATCATTTATAAGGTAGATATAACAAAAGGTTTGAGTAAGTGTTAATATAATATCAGCATTGGGGGCTCTATCAGGATGTTTCACGGAAGGAGACAGGAAGAAATAACATTCTTGAACTAGGACAATTCTAGGCAAGACAAATGGTCTTTATCAAAGATAGGTCTTACTTCTATGAAAAGTAAATAAGCCAAACTTAAATATCAGCATTTTTTGATGTGCAAATTGATGAGGCAAAATAAAAAAACTAGTTGAAAGAAGATGAAGAGCAGAAACTTAGGCATAAAGACAAGGGGGTTAGTACAATAAGGTCCTGATCACAAAAGAAGACACTAAAAAACCAAACATGTATTCATTGCGAGAAGAAAATATCTGACAACTTTTTTCTCTGAAATTCTTAATGTTTAGACAATTTCAAAATTGTTCAACTAAATGTGAACAACTTGAAAGGTAAGAAACCCGGTAGGCTCTGGAATTTGTTAATGAACAAAAGAGTAAGCGTTCTGGAGTTGTTTTTGGTAACAGTCCTCCTGTACTCAGTGGGGAGGTTTGCCCACATCCACATGGCAGATAGATTAGACAGCTGATTGGCGTCATTGTCCAGCTTCTCTGGGGCCCTGTAACCCACAGGAACTGCAATGGGACCTTCTCATAATTTAATAGTTTAATTATTAAATGGGACCACTGTGCCCCTTAGGCATGCTGGAGGGAAGTACATGACCAGTTCCCCTTCTTCTCCCAGTACCTCCTGGCACCAGCCTTGGTGAGAGAGAAGCTATGGTTTAGCACTGTGGAGAAAGTCCTTTATGTGAGGCTAGGTGAAAAGTTGAAAGTCTTTCCAAAAATAGTCTTATGGGACTTTGTCTTTCTTTCTTTTTGTTTTTTGGTAAAGCAAGATTGACCCAAATACTAGAATCAATGAGAGTGTAATATTGAAATCTGGTTATGTGTTCTCATTTGAATATCTGTTTCTCAAATGCTACTTTGGGTCAAGGTTTTTTTCGTTTTTGTTTTTTTTAAGATTGATACTGTATCTTTTCTTGAATTGTAGTTACTAAGTGGTTTCTATATTTGATAATATATTCCAGCTCATTTCTCTAAATTTCTTTGCTATATTAAGTGCTTTTGTGTAAGAAAAATGCTAAAAGAAGGTTTCTTTTGTTTAGTCATCACTTTCTCACATAAGCTCTTTTCAGATGCTTTGCATTCAGAATTGATTTCTGGATCAGAACCCAGGCTGTCAACCAATCTTAACATTTCCCTGGATAAGCTCCTCTTCAAGTTCCTGGGTTCCAGGTATGTGTGGTTCTGGATTATCTTTTTTAGAACGCTGTGCAGGGCAGCCCTAAAATCCAGGCATTCACTTTCATCGTATTTATGTATGGCTATATTGAGTCATTGTTCTTTGAAGGATACCAAGTGGAAACAAACAAGTATATACTTTTGAAGATTGGCTCTCGGGAGTTTATTAGTTGAAACTCCATTTGAAAGTTTAGCATAAATACTATTGATAATACCACAAGAACAGGATTATGTTGTAAAAAGTTCTAACATAACTCTTCAGGAGAACTGGTGGCACAGTAGTTGAAGCACTCAGCTGCTAACCAAGTGTCGGTAGTTCAAACCCACTAGCCACTCTGCAGGAGAAAGATGTGGCAGTCTGCTTCCATAAAGATGACAGCCTAGAAAACCGTATGGGGCAGTTCTACTCTGTCACATAGCATAGCTATAAGTTGAAATTGACTTGATGGCACCTAGCCCAAATAATTTTTAATCCTTTAAAAGAAACATAGAAATGCCCCTCAGCTTGAAAATCTAGATATTACTTGTATTATTTAATTCAAGAGCACATTTAAGTAATTCAATATTAAAAAGTCTTTTATATTAAGTTACCATAAACATGTTATATTTTTAATTGATTCAGTTGCAATTATACAGAATTTTGGCTTTTTGTTAAATTTGTATTTTAAATATTATTAATTTTCAAAATTTTTTCATGAGTAGAAAATAAATAGATTATTGTTTAATTAATGTGGGATTTAGGGATTTATGTTAGTGTTATACCATAAGTATTCAATGAAGATATTGAAAATAGATTTTAGTTCATAATTCCCTAAAGGATGTTGCTATTCTAAAATTTCTTCTATTTTGCAAGTCACTGTTTTCTCTGTGGAGCTCTGGTGGCGCAGCGGTTAAGTGTTGGGCTGCTAACCAAAAGGCTGCTCCTTGGAAACCCTATGGAGCAGTTCTACTGTGTCCTATAGCGTCCCTATGAGTTGGAATTGACTTGACGGCAATGGGTTATTTTCTCCGTACTTATTAATAGCATAATCTCATTTATGCCTTTATCTCTGATACATATTTTAAAAATTAGTTGTGAATAGCGAAATGAGTATAAATGGGGATGTTGATTCTGGCTAATCTTTTGGTCTTCATCTTCTCTGGTAACCAGCTATTTATTGATTTCTGACTTTTGAAGATGGATGAAGGTATAGAGATCTCCAGTGATGGAAATTCCCTGATCAAAGCAGTCCATCAGAGCAGGCTTCGCCTCACGAGACTCTTGCTAGAAGGTGGCGCCTACATTAATGAGAGCAATGACCGTGGGGAAACGCCTTTAATGATCGCTTGTAAAACCAAACATGTTGATCACCAAAGTGTCAGTAAAGCCAAAATGGTGAAATACCTGTTAGAAAACAAGGCTGATCCTAACATACAGGACAAATCTGGGAAAACTGCTTTGATGCACGCTTGCTTAGAAAAAGCTGGTCCTGAAGTTGTTTCCTTGCTTCTAAAGAGTGGGGCTGACCTCACCTTGCAAGACCATTCTGGTTACTCCGCGCTTGTTTATGCTATAAATTCAGAAGATAGAGAGACCCTGAAAGTTCTACTTAGTGCTTGCAAAGCGAAAGGGAAAGAAGTCATTATCATAACAACAGCGAAATCAGCATCTGGGAGGCACACTACCAAACAGTACTTGAATATGCCTCCTGTGGATATAGATGGGAGTCATTCCCTAGCCACCTGTGCCACTCCTTCAGAAATAGACATAACCACAGCCTCATCACCACTTCCACATTCTTCTGAAACAGAAATGACTCCTTTTGTCTTTAAAGATCTGCAGTCCTCAGGAAGCAGTGATGACATACGGGAACCAGGCTCCCCTGTGTGGAAGCCTATTATGGCGTCTAATGGGCCCAAGCTGCCCCAAGCTCCGCCCTGGATCAAGAGTACCCCCTCATTAATGCACCAGAACAGAGTGGCCTCCTTGCAAGAGGAGCTTCAGGATATTACTCCTGAGGAAGAATTATCCTACAAAACCAATGGGCTGGCACTGTCCAAGCGATTCATCACAAGGCACCAAAGCATTGATATAAAAGACACAGCACATTTGTTAAGAGCGTTTGATCAGGCTGGCTCAAGAAAGATGTCATATGATGAAATAAATTATCAGTCCTTATTTTCAGAAGGAAATCAGCAGGGTGTTGAGATCCCAAATGACCAGGACCCGGATACTAACCAGACAATATTTGCTTCCACTTTAAGAAGTATAGTTCAAAAAAGAAACTCAGGGGCAAATCACTATAGCTCTGATTCTCAGCTCTCAGCTGGTCTTACCCCTACAACTTTGGAAGAGAGCAAAGCACTTATAGGAAAGAAAAAGATCCTCTCGCCATCTCCTTCTTTGTTGTCAGGGCCCAAAGAATTGTTGGAGACTATCCCCCCAGGCCCCTTGAGCAGAAGAAATCATGCAGTTTTAGAAAGACGTGGTTCAGGAGTTTTCCCTTTAGATCACAATATTATGCAAACTAGACAAGGGTTTCTGCCACCCTTAAATGTAAATCCTCACCCTCCCATCTCAGATATCAATGTCAACAACAAGATTTCCAATCTTCTTTCTTGTGGTCAGAAAGTGCTTATGCCGACAGTTCCTATTTGCCCTAAAGAATTCAAAAGTAAAAAAATGTTGTTAAGGAGACAGTCATTACAAACTGAACAAATTAAGCAATTGGTAAATTTTTAAGAGATGGCCAGAAAACACATTTTCTTAAAATATCTGTATTAGAGAAATACAGAAATTTTAAAAGTTCATCATTTTAAATCTTGTGATTGATTAGTCCATAATTGTTAGGGAGCTCAAAATGTACTGTGCATTGTACTAGACACTGTGGTGACAGACATAATATATAGTTTCTGCCAAGGGAATGCTCTCAAACAAAATGAAAGCTATTTTCTTCAAAACTTCAAATATTTAACAACATCATGTGGTCCAAGTTTTTCATTTAAGTAAAAATCAGCAAAGGAAGAAAGCCACTTAAGTTGGAGATTTTTTTTTTTCAGATTTGCCAAATATTTTGAACATTGTGTTCAAGTCAATAAATATTTTTAATAGTTCAACTAATAAATAAGGTTGTAATCTTCCATGATGCCAAAAGTATAAAAGAAAACACTGGCAGCTATAAAATGTCCTATGATCTAAGCTACAAAGACAGACAGCTAATTCTTAAGAAGTGCTGACTGTAGTTATGTGAAAATCTAATTACAGTGAGAAAGGTCAACTATTATGGTAGAATGGGCAACTAATATTCATGTTGTCAGCTTAGTCAATGTAAAGCTGGCGGGTCAGAGCTTTACAAGCTAGTAAAAAATTTATATGCTGAGTTCTGTTGTGTTTGCTGTTTTTTGCTTTGCTTTTTGTTTTTTTAAACAAACTTACCTATCATGTTATTTTATTGGATTCTTCTCGATATCTTTTAATCCTTTTAATTATTTACAGAAGCTTATTATTACAAATAACAAGATAATACAAAAGTTAAAAAGCATTTCTCTGAACTTAATTCATTCTTATCTTTCCAAAGGCAGTAACAGCAACAAAAAAGTTTGAGATTTATTATGAATAGAAACTAAACATTTGCTTAGTTTAAAAAAAGAAAAACTGACTATTAGGTTAGCTTAAAACATTTGCTTAGTTTAAAAAAGAAAAACTGATTATTAGGTTAGCTAAAATTTAAAAAGCCAGTACAAAGTTAATCACAAAATGTACTAAATATTGGGTCAATATTAAATAATATGGGAGAAAGATATGGCAGTCTGCTTCCATAAAGATTTACAGCTTTGGAAACCCTATAGGGTTGCTATGAGTCAGAATCAACTCCATGGCAATGGGTATTAAATAATGTATTTTTATTTCTGATATGTAATTATTAGACACATAATAAGAATATGCAAGGATAATTTCCTTAATGTGATATTTCAATCTAGTATTTTAGGACCTGTGAATAATTTCTAACAAAATTAATACTATACAACTAGTAAAAAAGATCATAAAATGACAGGTTATATGATTTCAAAACACGATGTTATAAAAGAATATTTCAATCTAGCAGTATCACAACAAAAAATAAACTATATAAAACCTGAGTAGATTCATTTGATGATTGTCATATACGGCCTTATTTCTTTGCCTTCTATCAGCAGAGGAGATTCTAACAAAATGATGTGATGACTTTTCCTAGTAATTTGATATAAGCAAGTTGTAATTGTAATGTACATAGTAATTATTTAATTTCTTGTGGCTTTTATTTTTTAAAATTGAAGGTTTTTCTCTTTAATGTTTTGAAGAAGATTGATATTAAGTATATCAGAAATATTTTCTGTTTCAGGACTTAGAATTGTACCTGATGTTTGTAGGTAGCTAAACTCCTTTTTGTAGGTTTTAACATTGTGAAAAGTGCTTTGTTGTAAGTTGTAAGGATACAGTTTGGAAGAATATGTAAATAGATTAGTTCATAAACAAAACCATTATCAATAAAGATTTAAAGTGTCATTTTGTTATTACTGACTTTTATTTAGCTTTTAAATACTAGCGGTAAATATTTATATATAATTTCAAGAGAAATTTTGCTACATTTGAGTAAATAGAAAACTAAGGAAAAATAACTTTTATTGCTATTCTCATCCCAAATTCAAAAACGTAATAGGATTAAAACTTTGTTGGCCATATTTGGAAGAATTTTGAACCTGCTAGCAATCCTAAGAACTTTTTATGGACTGAGGTTGTTTGAGCCGGTTTGTAAAACCATCCCATGGGAATCTGCATTCCATTAAGTGAAGATATCACTGGGATCCCAAGGATGAGACATAGATGTTTGCAACAAGGAGTCACATATGTGTGTTGTTGTTAAGCTGCCACTGAGTCAGCCCCCCGCCCCCACTCATGGCAGCCCCACGCACAACAAAATGAAATGCTGCCCAGTCCTGCGCAATCCCCATGATCGGTTGTGGATTGGACCGTTGTGATCCACAGGGATTTCGTTAGCTGACTTTTGGAAGTAAATTGCTAGGCCTTTCTTCCTGGTCTTAGTCTGGTAACTCTGTTGAAACATGTTCACCATCACAGCAACACGCAAGCCTCCTCTGACAGGTGGTGGCTGCACATGAGGTGCATGGAAGGCAAGAAGAATTCTATCACTGAAACACCAATGTCCCCATCATGTACGTAGATGTATGTATACATATGTAAAATATATTTTTAAGTTATATTTTAAAGCTTTAAAGTATGATGCCACTACATTTATTAGTTTTGCAGTTAACATTCTTACTACTTGTGGCTAGGATTCCAAAGAATACAGCTAATGCTGAATCATGGCAGGAGTAATTTTGTCGAGGACACAGTACATCAGTTATTGAGAAAAGTGTTGACAGTATCCATCCAAGCAGTGCCTAGGGAAGCTGGTGAACACCTGTCAGGCATACTTCTTCGTGGAGATGCTCCCATCTGGCATCAGTACCTGAACATTTTAAAATTTCAAATGATAAAACTAACTACCCTTATTCTGATTAAATGCTCACTCTGCAGACTTCTGGAGCCCTGGTGGCACAGTGGTTAAGAGCTTGGCTGCTAAGCAAAAGGTTGGCGGTTCAAATCCACCAGCTGCTCCTTGGAAACCCTATCTACTCTGTCCAATAGGGTCGCTATGAGTCGAAATTGACTCGACGGCAATGGGTATGCAGACTTCAAATAATTTGTTTCCTGTATATTCTACTTAGAGGAGAGAATAACTTTGTCCAGAGGATGAGTAGGCACAGTCCAATTAAAGTTTATAATTCTTAGTAAATTAGTGTTTGAGTTTATAGTACCTTGCTTAGTGCCAATATTCCTTACATCACATTCCTAGGTCTCCAAGATAAGAGGACGGGGTCATGGACCATGACAAATTCACTAAAACTGGAGCTGCCCACTGGCATTCCCAAGGTGACACCCTGTCTCTGTGTAATTTTTCGAACATCTACAATTCATGAAAGGGAAGGCCAGGAAGGGAAAAAATGGGCAGAATAGCAACACAAAAAATAATAACAATTTAAAAGAATCTGAACTAGCTGAAACATTGGATCAAAACAAATAAGCTAAAGTTTAACAATCATGAATACCCTACATTTAGGTTTGAAAATTAGTTGCATAAGATAAAGATGATAAACAACTTACGAGGAAAAAAAATCTGACAGTTTTAGTTAGTTACAAGTGTAATATAATCCAAGATTGTTGGGACTGTTAACAGGACTAAGACTTGCAGACAATTTGATTAAAAGTTTTATCAATGCCTACTAGAGTATTTTAGCACTAGAAGATAATATTTGAAATATTACTTTTACCTAAGTACCACATTTTAAATTAAAGTATATATATAAGAAGGTAAAAAGGATGATAAAGAGTCTGGGAAAAAAATTAAAAATAGGTCAAAGGATTTGTGTTGTTTAGCTTGGAGATGAAGAGACTCAACTGAGATTAGACAGCTGGACTTAAATACTGAAATGGCTGATACAATCACTTAGTCCACCATCTTCCAAATAAAGATAAACCAGGACAATAAAATTAAAGTTAGAGAAGATTTCAAATCTCTCTTAGTTACTAGAGCTTTCTACCAACGGAACAGAATAGTCTGTTCTAGGAAGGTATGAACCACCAGTTTTGGAAATAAGCCGGGAGAATAGATGTAGGTCATGGATTTAACAAAAGAGATTCCTTTTATTGTCTAATCTTTAAGGTTGTTTCCAACTAGAACAGTCTTTGAGATAGTCCTTGCTTGTTAACAGTTCTAGATTCAGTGGGAAAAATTGAAAACTAATGACTGAAATTACGTTCTTGGATTTCAATTATCCACACTACTTCTTGGCTTTGTTTTCAAGTTCATAAAGTGTTGACTATAGTGGCACAAACTTAAAATTTGATTGCTAAGAAAAACATTTCAGAAAAGATCTTCTTGTTAATTGCAAAAAGAGCTATTCTATTCCTGTAACTTTGGTCCTACTGGTATGAAGAATGTGGCTTTTAAGCGAAGAACACTTTCACTAAGGAAAAAATAGCAGTTCCCCCGAGTGGGAGCTGAGATAACCACCTGGTCGGCCCAGGCTCCTTCACAGGAGAAAAGGGGCCATGATGTTGGTTGGAGTGGTTCTCAGAACTTTTACTATAAAACAGGAGCTAAAAGGAATACAGGTAGAATCTGAAGAACTCACTGGGGTACCCCCTTGTATTATCATGGCCAGTAGTAAATGTAGATTATTACAATCTCACACAAACAGAACCAACAAAGGCTTAATTCATCAGAAATGAAGGTGTGAGTCACACCAGGAGATACTTTCTCAAGTATCTGTTCCTGTCCATAGCTGGTGGAAGGGGCAGTCTAGTGTAGCATACAATCCCATTGGCCTCTACCCCCTATTAGAGATTATTGGACCAAGGATGGACAACTGACCCAAGGAAATGAAGCCACAAACTGGGATGAGCCAAGAGGGTCCTCTCTCAGTAATACAAATTTGCTAATGGTAGAACACTAAAGTAAGTCCTACTGATGAGGACCCTGAATCTGTCCTAGTTCTTGCCTTTCCTAAACCTACATGTTCATATTGTCTCTAAATTTTCTGAGATACATATCCTTACAATAACCTTGTCCTATCCTCCTTTATTTAATTTGAGTGGATTTCTATTATTGCATCCAAAAGGTTAGTCGGAAAGGTTTCTGACTA